AGCCGGTTACTAACAAAATAGTTGAAGAGTATATTTACATAGAACAAATTTTCCGACTAAGTAAGTCCAACTTCGGCCGAAATTTGACTGCTCCATCTCGACTGAGCTACAATCGGGAGATTACGACATATTTGTCACGTGCTGCTCAAAGCAAAAGTTCACTACCAATGCTTAATTTCAGTGGTGACATGTGGATCTAAGACGTGATCGTATTGACCGTATTAGCATAATTTCGCTCAACGAGCTATGGAGAGAGTGATGCTCGGAGTTTCTCTGCGTAATAGACTTAGAAATGAAAATATCCGCAGTAGAGCCAGAGTAACAAACATAGCTCAACTGATCAGTAAGCTATAGTGATAATGGGAACGCCACAGAGCTCAAGGAACTGACCGACCGATGCAGAAGAAAGTTTCTCAAGTGACAGCCTTGTACTTACCGGCGGGGAAGATATACAGGAAATCTATTAATCATCATCATCATCATCATCATCATTACAGCCTTTTACTAGTTCACTGCTCAACATAGGCCTCCCCAAAGGAATCCCACGAAGCTCGGTCCTGAGCCACCTGCATCAACAATTCCATTTTTTTAACACTGGAATATGTACAAGTCAATGAATGCGGGTAGATTATTACAGTGCTTAATAGTTTTCCTTGGGGAAGCATTTGTTCAGCAGTGAACTTTGGTATGCTGTTACGGTTACAGTAATCATTTGTATGTCTCAAAACTATTTTTTATATAAGTTATAACTTTGAAATAATTAAATTTTTCGATATCAAAGAGAGGCCACACAATGCGGCTCGTCAGTGTTCCGGTGTTGTACTTCAAAAATTTCGCACTTTAAGCCAGGCTGCCCACGGCCACACAGCTGGGAAAATCTGTTGCCGTGGCAGCGATGAAACGGTAGCAGGTTTAGCAAAAACTTAATCTAAAACTCGTTAAACATACCAAAGCATTAGTTTTTACACTAGATTGCTTCAACTTACAGAGTGCTTGTGAATATCGTACCATATCGTATATTAATGCAACGAATTTTTACGCACGCTCAAATGCCGCGCCGCCACTGCAACAAACCTTGTAGTCTTGCCCTAAAACAATAAAACCAGAATTTCGAAGCTTTGTTACTATTATTTGTTGAACAGAAGTATTAAATTGATGGATGCCACAATCTAAAACATTGCCTTTAATACTTTTAAGTATGTTCAACAAGTTAAAACAGAAAATAATTAGTAAGTTAAACTAATCACTAAACAGTTTACAACCTACAATAACAGAAATGTGTTAAAATGCTAATTTATTTTAAAGGGGAGTCTGTGCATTTATATTTTTTTAAATTTATTTTGCTAATAGCAACATATAAAATTTACTAAAAATCAATAGAGGTTTTATACTGTACAACAAACAGCCTACTTTTTTTGATGCGTAATAATGTATTGATTATAATATGTCATTTTTATTACATATTTTATTTTTTTATAGATATTTTATTACAAAATACCTTAATAAATTGAATGCAAAAGGTGAAATTAATGCGCATTTTTCTTTTGTATAGATAATACTAGAGTTAAATGAATTCAATCTGCAAGAAATAGTTTTAAGAACAAAACGTAATGTAAGATTATAGAAGGTGATGTTTTTATAGCTCATAATTTCTGTAAAAGGTCAGTGTCCAACCACTTTCAGAATAAATTATCAAATTTTATAAAAGTTTTTATTACATATCATTTATTTTAACAATAAAGTAACATATAGTCTCATAAGTCAAATAAAAATAAGGTCTGAATCTGTTATAAATCAAAAATAAAATCAAAATAAGTAAAATGAGGTCGATATTTTTGTTAATGTCCCACATCTACTGTGTCAAGTTCAGAGTCACATAATATGGTCGTGTTATATTATTATTCAAACGTTTTGCATTTGACTGGTCATTTATGACCGTAACTTCAATTTTAAACCTTAAAATGTACATGTTACGGTTGAAAATTATTTTAAAATACCAGATTTTGGGTTGTCCTGCAAAATAGCGTATGATGGAATTTCCGCGTACGTGACCGCATTTTCAACGACTTCCAACAAAAAATACTACCAATTCAATACATTTTCCCAAATAATGCAACATTATTAGTCTATGGTGGCTGCCATATTTAATTTTTGAGAGCCAGTTCGCCAACAAAACGTACTCTACTCGAAGTGGTTGCCTCATGTGAAAAAAATATTTCCACATACGATACTGCTTTTCTCCAGGTAACGTATTCAAGTGTATTTCATTCTATTTTCTATTAAACATGTTAATTTATTGTTATTTGAAATGTTAAGTTATATTGAACAAAAGTTTGATAACTAATTAGTAAATTCATTTGAAAATTTTATTGGCATGGTTACGTTACCTCCATTAACGCTACTATCGCATGAATGGAACTCAAAAGTGACGTAATGGAATCCTAAAGGTCGGTTCATAAAGTCATCGTTTTAATTAGTGTTCTAAAGTCTAAATAAATAAGTATGAATAAAATAACTATGAAATGCCTCGAATTTTTTAAATGAATTGCTTATTACTTAATTTCGTGTGTAAATCAAACAAGATTTTTCAAGTAGGTATTTCGGCTCAAAACACTCCATTCAGGATAACATTAGAAAAATAACAGTGAAATAACGATAGTTATTACGTTATATTGTTGAAATGGCTGCATTTAGTGTTCAATTTTAATGATATCCTGAATGAAAATCTGTTTTGTTTTTTTGCGTGAATTGATCGTCAAAATATATGTGATAAACAGTTATCACATTTATTTTGACAATTATTTCACGCAACGCTTTTTGTAAATCTATATAAATTTTTTCACAAAAATTTGAGTTTTTTTGTACGGGGTACATTATGATAACTCACTATTGTTTTTAAGCTTAAATATGCCCTTGACGGCTGCAGAAAAGTCAAAACGGTACCGAGAAAAAATCAAACAAAACCCGGAAAAATATGAAGAATTTAAGAAGAAGGAATTACGAAGACAAAAAAAACACCAAAAGAAGATTAAAGAGCTCACTGAGGACGAGAAAATAGAAAAAAGAAAACTCTGGAGAGAACAAAAACGAAAACAAAAAAAAACAAAAACACTCAACCGAATCCACAATCAGGGCAATCACGTGACGCATCCAATACCTCAGCTTCACATCCATTGAAAATTAGGTACCAAAAATTGTTAAATAACTATAAAAAGGCTTTAAAAACGATTCGTCAAAATAATACAACAATACAGACTCTGAGAAAGAAATTATACCGAATGAAAAAAAAACATGAAACCGAATTTGATTTATTGAACACAGAAAACGATAAATTGAAAGCAAGACAAGAAATAATGGAAATATCAATTCGTAGTACGTACAGGAATTGTAAGAAAAATAAAGAAAAACAATTACTTAAAAACGTGATTAGGAAACAGGCGCAAATATTGGAAAAAGCACCTGAAAGTAGGATTTTAGGTCTTAAAGGAAGAATCAGGAAAAGGATTAATGTACAACGACCAATACCTAAGAAAGACTCAGGAAGAAATAGAACTTTTTTATTTGAGAGACGACATAAGTAAAAGCACAGCTGGTAAGAAGGAAACCAGGTCTAAAGACAAACAAAAAGCACAAATAAGATACTTAGTCGACACATTGAAAAACGTATACGAAATTTATAAAAAAGACGGTGGGTCATGTGGCTTCACCACCTTTTACAGATACAAGCCTTATCATGTACTGTCTCCAAGTATCAATAATAGAGAAACCTGCTAATGTATTAAGCACAGTAACTTTGAGTACATGTTTAATGCACTGAAATGTAAAGGTGTCATAACTTACAAGAATATAAAGGAGCTCTTGAACATCGTTGCATGTGATATTACGCGTTATGACTGCATGTACAATAAATATAAAGATTGTAAGAGTATTTCATATGATGAACAAAAACTCGATTCTGCTATATCATGGTTCAAATGGGCTAGGGTAAACCATGAATATGAAAAATCTGGCAAAGTATATACAACTAAAAAGACCACCAAATAACAAGTAAAAGGATCTGTACTTGATATCATACCAACTTTCAGAACGAGCTACCGGCGTTTAAAACTCATTTCTATAATTGGATTGAACAACAACGTCAATACAGAAATTGTATCAAGAACATGAAAGATGACGAGATACTCATTTTATGTGACTTTTTGGAGAATTTTGAATGTAAATATAGTGAAGAAGTCCAATCAATGCACTTTGGTGCCTCCAAAAACACGATCACTTTACATTGTGGTGTAATTTTTTGGAAAAATTTGTATCTATTTCAGATAACAATTGCCATGAGCCGACTGCCATCTGGGCACACTTGATACCAGTTATCAAACTTGCAAAAGAAATGAACCCTCATATCAAAGTTATACACTTTTTTTCAGACGGCCCATTCAGCCAGTACCGTCAAAAAATAACTTTTATCTTTTGAGTTTATTCACCCCAAAATTAAAACTATCATATTCAACATGGTCATTTTCGGAGGCAAGTCATGGCAAAAGTATGGCAGATGGGATTGGGGGTGCCGTTAAGAGAATTGGATAAAAGGATTTCTTATGGTCATGGTTTTACTAACGCCACTGAAGCAATTCAAATTTTAGAGAACAGAATGAAGACAGTAAAGTGCTTTTACATAAGAAATCAAGATATTGAAAACATGAACCAACTTATTCCCAACGGCATTGAAACTGTTCCTGGTACAATGCAATTGCATCAAATATCATCTACACAATGTAATCAGATTAAATATCGGCAACTGAGTTGTTTTTGAGGGGAATATCGTGGTTTGTGCAGTTGCTATTGTCCCAAAATACATAATTTTGTTAAACCATCAAAAGAAACTGCCGAATTGAGTGTTGAGGCATTAATAGTTCCTGAGACGTCAAAAAACAACATGAACGTTACTCCTTTTTATTCGAGCCTAAGCATTGTGCCCCACAAAATGAATACGGCAATTGATTATGAATTTACCAGAAAATACCCGACAGATAAGCAAATCCCCTATTGAGTTAATTCCTGATCACATGCTCCAAGATTTAGAAACATACCAAAGTGATAATGAAGAAAACATAAATTTTGATTTTCATGTGGGTCAAATGGATGAAACTCCAATTTATTCCCTAGAAGACAACAATATTTTTGGACCACTCATAGAGATAACTTCTCTGACCGATAATCAGAGATTAGTCGAACCTAAATCTGATAGCATAATTCCAATCCAGGAATGTTCATGCATGACAGCTTCAGATCACGTTCTTGGTAATTCCCAAAATAAACAGCTCAAAGAGAACCTTGCATCTCTTGAATGTCAGCCCTCTAAGAAGAGAAAAATAAATATATCGAACGATAACAAACATAACGGAAAAGAATTTAAGTCATCAAGGACTTTTTTGTGCTCTATTTGCAAGGAGCGTCAGCCTTTTGTTATACAAAGAATGGTAAAATGTAATGCATGTAAAAATTGGGTTTGCCTGATATGTAGCGGAACAACCTTTTTTGACTACGTTTGTTCGATTTGTCTTGGGACTGATGAATAGTGTTGATTGATCTCAAATGTGTTTTTTCGTATTGTTTTTTTCTTTAAGTGTTGTTTAAGTTACTTACTTTATTACTTTTTTTTTACTCTGTTTTGTTACAGTTTAAGACCGTTTATAACGTACAGCATTTCATACAAACTTTCAAGTCTTTATTTTTCGAAATAAATGAACCGATTTTAATGAAACTTCCTACGCATAAGCAGGATATATAGGTCCGAAAAGTTAATGAGAACATTTTCAAAAAATAATGTTACAGCTAAATTCGACCGATTTTAAATTTTCCATAGAAACAGATATTTCAAATTATCTTGTTTTAAATAAGACATTTCGAAAATGTTCTTTACTAACTTTTTAGAGCTATGTATCACGCTTATGCGTATGAAGTTTCATTAAAATCGGTTCATGCATTTCGAAAACAAGGACTTGAAAGTTTGTATGAAATGCCGTACGTTGTAAACGCTCTTAAATCACATACTAGTAATATTATGTTTAATACGATAAGTACAAGTTACCATGATTGTTGTCATAATTCAGAGTCATATAGACGTTGCCTTATAGTTCCTAAACGCCATTTTCGAATTCATTTAACGTCACTGTCCTATTATTACTGTGATTTATTTTCTAAGACTAATTAATAGATCTCAAAGAAATTTGACTGTTTTTGTTCAATATAGTTTATTATTAATTTTTAATTTGTTATAATTAAACTTTTGAAAGATTATTTCTCATATTTGACGTTCTAGGATGAAAAAAATATAGTACATAATACCCAAAAGTAGCGTAAGGAATATCTTTGTTAAAACATTTTTGATTAGATCTAATATGCTGAATTATCAATATTTTTTAGAAGACTGATTGTGTTTATTTTTCATAAATAAAGTTAAAAATACTGAACTTCTTTTAGTTTTCATGAAAACTATTTTAAAATTAGTAACGTAATGGAATTTCTTGAGAACATAATTTAATTAAAATTGTAATTATTTTCAAAATTCATTATTATTTTCTTAAAAAAAAAATACTATTTTCATACTGCTCATACTATATTTTATCAATTTAATTACATTTTGAAGCTAAATGTTAAAACTCATATAAGTGGAATTCTAATTACTTCACCGACAATTTTTTTGAAAAACGCCCAAAAACCAGAATCGATTACATCATGTTTGTTGGTTTTTCTCTAAGTAAACCACTTTGTATCATCAACTAATTCCCTGGAGCCTAATATTTTTTTATATATTACTTAACTTAAACCACCTGATAGTAACAGACTACTGCAGTGCATAGAAACCTACAACCAACTTTAAAGAGGTAAGACCTATTTATGCCTAGTCACCTCTAAGGACTAAGATAGAATTCCTAACAGCCTGTAATAATACTGGGTCTTTAAACCCATCAGACATACCAGTGCAGGCGGTGCTATTTAGCGGCAGAAATATGTTAGAGGGTGGTACCTACCCGATCGTACTTCTAAGCAGAAAAGGTATCCTACCGCCTAATAAATAATATATTTTGATACCAAATTAATAACACGTTGTTAATAATAAATGTTCTATTAGCGTTCCAAGTTTTATAAGACTGTAATGCATATCAAAAATATTTATTTATTTATTTTTTGATAGGGTGACAAACGCGCACACAGTCCACCTGATGGTAAGTGATTGCTGTGGCCCATAGACATCTATATCTATCCTCGTTTGCGAATCAAAATGCAGATGCATTGTCACCCGTGAGAACTAAGATGGAATGCCTCTTTTCCAGTTAAAAGGGTCTCCGGTTCTCTACAGTCACCATACGAGACACAGCATTGTTAAACTGCTATTTTACGCTGGTATTCTGTGAGAGCGTGGTCCTTCCCCGGTCGAGCCGACCAACTCGTGCTGCAACTACACTACTGATATAGCTGCAGCATGGCTCTGCTACGTGTAACTAGGAAAAGAGACATAAAAGTTAAGTGACAAACGAAGTTACAGTTAGAAGTACAAGCACACAAGCTAAATATTAGTGCGTTTTCATCTCTAAGGTGGAATGTTTCACAACCTGCAAAACCACGATATATGTGACTTTGACTGGCTCTGTACACTTTTCAGATCGCAACGCCACAGTGCACGTACTACTGCTTGGTGGTAGGGTACCTATTTAATAACTACTAACTACTAACTATCAAATGAATTTTAGGCAGAAAAGAAGTCTATCTAATAATGTGGACAAAGTTTCTCTGTATTGAACTTTGTCTCATAGCACTAACTGCACTACCTTTGCCTCTCAAATTTGGCAAATCTGCCAATACTAAGAGATCGTGATCGCAACTTTCGCACTGCAAGAATCTTTTCTTATATTTCGTGTTAACTATTTTGAACAAATATTATACAAATACAATAGATTCTAGTACATCTTTTAAAAGTGTAACCTCATCTCCTTTGCTTGTAAGTATATAGTATGTAGTAACTGTGAAAAAAAAAACACTCTTACCTATTAACCTATTAACGTAAATAAGCTTTTCGCTCGTCACATCTTATCAAAGTTTAGTTGTTTGTTGAGAAAATCTTTCCGGGCTAGGAAATCACATCCTGTTGGTCTGTCGCGTGTCGTAAGTTTCTTTAACATTTATCATTTTTGGCTCAGTAAGTCTGAATGTGGAACATAAAAATATGTGAGCATAGATAGAAGTTTTATCAATCTAGGGATTTCTTTTTCAAAAATATAATATCAAAATCTAAGTGTTACTTATTTAATTTTGTTATTTAGAGGCCAATTCTGGCTTACAAATTACAAAAAAAAGATCAATAAATATATAACACAGTAAGTAAAGTAATACTCATTTATAAAGGAAAATATTTCTGCAGCGTTGTTGTCAGTTGTCAAAGAATGGCGACTACATACAATCTTTATCAATTTGGAATAAATCCAGGGAAGTAATGTGATAATATTTCATTTATAGAGCAAAATCTTTTTATTTAGGCCGTAAATGAACGTGTTTCATGAAAGATGCGGGGTACAGCACATTTCAAGTCAATATGAAGCTATGTAATATAAAGACTTTTGAGTTCTGTAGAGATTTGTTTAAATTTTTAATGAATATCTCCATTTCGCTACATAAACAGCCGGATTTCCTATAGTGTCAAAATCGTACCGACGATAGGCTATTTTAGGTTAATAAATCAATTACGTCTCAACTTAAAATTAATACCCATTTATCTCGACCACGTCCTAAATTTAATTTAAAAAAGTAGTTAAGTCGAAAGTAATAAATGGCAACTTAAAAAATGCATCATGTATTTTATTCTCAAATGACATCTTGGTTCCTCGTAATGTCGAAACTCTTGAAAGCCTTCGTCAGAAGCATCCTTTGGTCAATCCTTCTCAAAGCTTACCGCTGCCTTCCAAGACTTCTATGCAACATTTACCAATTTCTGAAAAAGACACTTTAGAAACAATTATGTCATTTTCGAATGGCTATGCTGGCGGCATTAACGGAATTACGGCTCAACATCTTAAATATCTTGTAAGCGCTTCTGCCGGTGACCCGGCGGAGTACTTCTTAATGACATTACAAAATTATGTAACTTGTGTTAATCCAAACTTAATTGCATTCTTATATGGTGCAAGATTATGTGCCTTCAAATAAAAAAAGATAACGGTATCCTTCCTATTGCCGTTGGTTCCACATTTCGACGCTTAGCTTCAAAATTAGCATGCAGGCACAAAATCTCTAAATTAAGACAAAATTTCAGCCTACTCAACTAGGCTTTGGCACTAGAGGTGGCTGTGAAGCGGTGGTGGTGAATGTACCGTCGCCTTTTTAACAAACTCTGATGTTCTTGTGAAGGTTGACCTAAGGAAGGCTTTTAACTCTATCGATAGGGTAACCTTTGTGAAAGAAGGGGCTAACAATACCCCCGAAATTTAGCATTACGTTTGGCAAGGTTACAGTCAAAATAGTCACTTGTTTTATGAAAACCATGTTATCGATTTTGCTGTCGGTGTTCAGCTGGGTGACCCACTAGGTCCAGCACTTTTCAGTCCTCAGCGATCTTACTCATATTTTTCGAAATTTTAAAAATATTGGTCTTGAACCAAATAACAATAAATGTGAAATGTTTTTTTAATAATTTATCTAGTTCTAACAGAGACAATTTAATTCAAAAGTTCAATCATATATCTCCAGCAATAAAAACTGTCAGTACGGAATCACTACACCTGCTAGGTGCCCCGTTGTTTTTCCATAGTATTAAAGCTGATTTAAAAACAAAATTTGATCAGTTTTTAAACCACCTTGATAAATTGTATAAATTAAACCCCTACATGGCTCTTACTATTTTAAAATATTGTCTCCTTGTACCTAGATTTATATACTTACTCCGCTCGAGTCCAGTCTAGAAATGATCGAATATTTTAAAAGATATTGATAATAATCTCAAAATAGCCGTAGAAAAAATTCCAAATTTAACTTTAAATATAACAGCTCGGACTCAAGCTACTTTACCTATAAAATTTGGTGTTATTGGTGTGAGAAATCTTTCTAGCGTTGCATTTCCTGCTTTCCTTGCTTCTGTACGTAGTGTCAGTGTCTTATGTGACATAATTTTAAATAATAAATAGACCTGTGCTTTGGTACGGAGACAGGACAGACATGGCAAAGGCTCTGTCCTGGTGAAAATGCTCCACTGGAAGTTAACCAACAAACAAAGTGGGATATTCCATTAGTACAGAACGTGCAGAAATATTTGTTTCATAATTTCCATAGTGACCAAGATAAGGCACGCCTCCTAGCTGTTTCGACTAAGGAATCTAGTCACTGGTACCATCAAGTAATCTCGGCATGTTACTTGATGGGGAAAGCTTGAGCAGCGCCGTAGGAATCCGACTAGGAGTGGCGATTTGTCAACCCCATCAGTGCCCCTGTGGTAGCAGCGTCGACAAGCTTGGGCTTCACGAACTTTCATCTAAGAAAAGTGCTGGTGGGTTTTCACGGCACGGTTCTTTTAAAGATGTCATCCGAA